TACGAAACGTCTCCTGTTATCATACATGATCTCCTTTTCATCACAGGTGACAATTCGGTCCAAAAACTCGTTTCTGTTGCGCAAAAGCAGTGAAGAAGAAACCTCGAGACGTGCCAATTTCTGCCGGTCACTCAAATTGTGGGGCACCCACTTGTCGAGTTTTTTCACCTTCCCAATGCGTTTCAGACCATCCGCAACAGTGGATTTGCCAACGCCTAGCTTTTCTGCAATCTCTCGAACTGTTTGGGATGGGTCACCCTCCACAAATGCCTTCAAATCTTCGTCAGGTATTGCTTTAGGTCGACCGCTACGAGGTTCATCTTCAAGGCTGAAATCTCCAGAACGAAATTTGTCGAACCATTGTCGCACGGTGCTTTCTCCAACACTATTGGGCCCCCACACCTGGTTAATTTGTCGAGCTGTCTCGACTGCGGATTGACCCAATTTGTAGTTGAAGAACAATATCGTCCGAAGTTGCTCTTTTGACATGCTTGAAAAAATCTTGAAAAAAGGGGTTATCAAGCAATGGTGAAACGGCAATTATACCATCAGATAGCGCAAAAAATTCTCTTCAGGATGTACTACTGAGACGCAAGGGAGAATGAGTTTTTAATCAGCAATGAATGTACAAAAAATAGTAACACAAAACGCTGAGAACTTTCCGGACAACCTAATAGATTATCAATGTCAACTGCATGTACAATTTAAACTTTCTGGGAAAATATAATCATGAAAAGCGTTAAGAAGTAAGGACTGAAATGCTTACCTTGACAAATCGATGTTTGCTAACATCAACTACAAGGCGCTCCAGCTCCATCTCATTGTAAAATGGAATAATCTTTTTTATACGAGTCCAACTAATAGAATCATAGATCACTGATATCTATAAACACATAAATAACATCTATCATCAACAAAACGAAAATGAGACCACTTACTTGTTTCAAGGCCTTTGTAGCAACGACTTCGTTGAGCGCGTCAACATACTGAAGATGATCGGGTCGATCAATCTGAGCCAGCTGAGCTTCAACTTCTCTAGCTAGTCTGCAACATTCCTCTCAAATCATGGTCCTTCAGATGTTATAAGAGACTTACCTGAGAGGAGCAAAGTTATTCTCTAACAGCTTGTACAACGCGTTGGTTGACTCCGAAGCCATTTCTGGAACCCCGAGACGGGCAGCTTCTCTCAATAATCCAGCACGCGTAGGTGCGATTGGGAGGCGAAGCAAATTTGAAAGCAACCTTAATATATGTTATTATTTTGAATTATGGATTGTTTAGTCATTTCGCCATTCATTTCCATACAATTGTAGGTTCGTTAAACATATTTACAGTATAGTTCAGTAGATGAGAGGGCGTCATGCGCTTGTCGTGGCGCCAAACCCGTTTTCCACTACTGTTGAAGCGGTTGAGCGACAACAGCTGGTGTACCCCCTGATTCCCTCCTTAAATGGGGGAACGGCTTATATAGAAACGGGAAGAAAAGCGATGAAAATTCGACCCCTTTCCCGATCTCACCTATCACTTTCTCAAATTTTTCAAACTTCCTTTCATTTTTCAGTTTTCCCCCAAAAATTTTGCTGCCGAGCGGATGTCAGGGGAGGGGCAGGGGTGAAAGCACACGTGAAACAGGACGAACCGCGAAAAGTCAACAACCGGGAAAAGATCTTTCCCAACGCCGCAAATTTCTCTCAGATGGTAAATACGTTCCCTCCCCCCCCCCTCCCAGCAACAATTAAATACGACCCTTCCCCCTCATAGTGTCCGTGAAACAAGAAAAATCAACTATCAAAAAAAATTACTTAGGCTAAATATGACCCCCCCCCGTTGGGAATACCCACGGATGACGTGACCTGTACAGAGTTTACCAGTGAAGACATAGTTCAACCAAGGGTCTGGGCGATTAGGAAAGAAGATACTCAAGCATTAGGATCTGCTATATCGCAAGATCACTACGCAACTATGCTGGCACTTCGATGTCACTAAGTAATGATGTACATGAATACGTTTTTGGGATGAGGTAGGCGTAGCTGCGTACTTCAACTATCCGTGGAGGTGGTCATGTCTTTGGAGGACATTTCCATTTTGGCAAAATCGGGGTTGCGTCTATGTACAACCACAGAAAAAATGACAGTTGTTATAAATTGGAAATATCCCACGAGCACCCCACTATATGCAGTGCTCAAAGGCCACGCCTTACTAAGTTGCTCAGAGATAAGGGGTGTAATATGGTAGACATGAGAATACCGTATGTTAGTGAGATGTTGATCCTCGATATCTAGATGACGAGTAAGGTCTGAAGGAGCATCAGCTCCGTCTGGTATAGATAGCGTTGCAAGTAAAACACGACTCGCTTGTTCTTGAGCTTCATCTGCAGTGAACGACCTCTTCATATCCTGAAAACGTTGTTTTTTCAAGCAAGCGTAAGGTAACGCATATAAGCCAATAACGCTTTGCTTGCCTTATAAATTATGAACTTTTGAAGAAGAGCCGCCGCATGGAAGAGGCTATTACCAGCCTTCCAGAACACCAAGGCAAGCTAAATGGAAAATTGGATGAAAGCTGTCAGGGAATTGATAAAACCGCGTTCAGACTTCACGATCGCGTGACCACGACCGGGGGCGCTCCACCGTCAGGCAGTGCGCCGCGCAACGGCAGAATTTAAAGTGTACCGCGTTCATACAGTGCCAATTTGAATCGTACCGTTGCGGACGAGCACCGTTTGGCGGTGGAGCGCCCCAGTCGTAGTGGCGCGATCCGATCGAGCGATCGCGAAGTCTGAACGCGATCCAAGCAGGAAATAAAATGAAGCTTTGCTCATACCTTATCATAATAATTCACATAGCTAGCAGGTTTCACCATGCGTTTATCCTTGTCCTTGCTAAGCTGCATCATACCATGAACATCTTCTGCACTACTGCAACGTAACAGTTCAAGGAGAGTCTAGTCAATCAGCGATCACGAATGCTCCCCACCGATATGCTTCTTGCCAAAGCTCCATTTGTATTGCAGTGTCCAGCTGGCAAAGACGTGTCTCCTGCATCATTGACAAGGACTCCGGCGAATTTAACTTCACGCTACAATGACGTCCATTCAGTATTCAGCACATTATTTCAAGCATATGCAATGTAAAAGTTGAGTTTTCGACTTACACATGAGCCAAATGCTGATGTTTTTGAATCTGATTTAGATGTAATCGCAGCAGTTCGCACAATTTTCTAAACTCCGTTCGACGCTGGTATTTTGAGCAGAATTGGAAAGACTTTCTTGTTATGCGATGGTACAGATGTTCAACCTAAATATGGATCAATGGGTTACGCAAAAAATTAATGAAATGATGTACTCAGTGAAGATAAATTACAGGAAAAATTCAAAGCAAGCCAAAAAATTATATTTTAATAGCTTAGCGGGCATCTACTTTGTGCACAAAGAGCTTTTCGAATGATACATGCCAGAAAAAACACTGAACTACTAAATGGTAGTCATAATTCCGCGCATAGATCAATTGATAGGTATGTTCGCTGCTGTTCCTGAACTAGTACCGGTATCAAAGGTCCAATATTCCGGTAATAAAACGACCTAGCAAAAGTCTGCCAACCTTCCCCCATGGAACGCCCAAGAGAGAACTTGACATGCCGGTTAAGCGAGGAGCATTCCAGCCCAACGCATGAACTGTTGCGCTCATTCAAAGGTGAAAAGAAATGAATACTCATGAACACCCGCAGGACATTACAGAGTTAATCCCATAAAAATGAAGACCTTCCAAGTTAATAATTCAATTAAACAAATATCAAGTGCTAAGTCATTGCGTTCCTTCAAATAATTAACTGCATGTTTAAACGTGATAAATATAATAAAACTATTCAGAAAAATAATTTTTCTGTGGTTCCAAAGTCCTCTTGAATGCAGCCAACAGTTTACCCGAGAGAATTACTAACTCAAACCTGTGCATTATTCCTTAACAACTCGAGGCAATTCCTATACGAATCCCATAAAAATCGTAACCAAGGGGCAAGCACCGTTCTGTCCATACGATCTTGGGCAGCCGCTCCAGAAACAACCGACAGAAGAAGGCTAGAAGTATTAACATTGCCAATAAATCATTATTCTGATATCAAACATTGCAACGGTCTTTTACAAAAGCCCAAGGGGATCGTGCTGCATAATATTATAGCTTTGTTTGAAATTATTCATGAGTTAGTAAATTAGCCGCAACGTCTTCTGCCAGCAACAATCCTCACTATATGAGAAGTAATATGGCTTTAGCTGTACAAATACGTATAATATTCTTTAAGACATGCCCTTTGAAGGTATTTATTTACTTCATGATTGTCAGCTGTTGTACCAACATGCTTCTCCTTAGGGCTGAGAAAACACAAGGTAGATCAATCACATGTTTGATGAAAGCCGACATATGACCAAAGCCCTTCTAATAGCGCGAGTCTAATCCAGTTCTCTCGCATCAAAGTTCAAAGTTGTAAAAATCAATATTCAATGGAAGCATCATCATGAATAATAAATTATTTTATTCTGCCACGCGCTTCCCACATCAACCCCACGTTTTTGAGGGAAAATGTTATTGCTTGTGCATCAAGTGTTCCCTTGATTGCGTAACAGAATAATGTACGCGCTACAATAGCCTCCAGCTTCTCATATCGTGAAACCCTGGCCATAGTTGTTATGTACAGGCGCCGACGAAGTTCATTACTCTAACTACTCACATAGCGGCGACATTCCGCTCCTGCGGTAGTGCACTGGACTTTTGAGAAAGACGATTCAGTCGAAACATTAGGTCAGAAAGTATCCCATACAAGGCCGCATTCACAGCTCGCGACAGTGATGAAATGCAGGAATGCAGATTTGAAGAAATGCAGAATTGACGAATAGATACATATCGATTTGAAGAAAAGATGCGTATCGATTTGAAGAGAACGCAGAACTGACGGAAAAGATTTGATACGCATCGATTTTTGCAACTCGTCATTTCTGCATTTCTTCAAATCCATACATCCGTAATGCTCTTCGACAGTTCTGCGTTTCATCACCATCGCAAGCTGCTAACGCAGCCTCACAACCTCGACAGCACAGTGGAAAACATCTTTTCATAGCATTACGACTTCAACTGAAACCTTCAATGACGTAGTTAGAGCTTGAGCAGTCCAAGTCCCGACCTCGACCAGTCTCCAAAAAAACTCCATCTTGATTACATAATTAACGCACCGAACGCTGTGTGCATAGATTTCAAAGCACATAGTCAATTAATCCCTAAGCCTTATTAAATGTGGTTTCACTTAACGTTTACTAGATTTTCTAGGTGCGCATACTCATGAAAATTCTTTTCGATAGGTGTCAATGCCAAACTTGCAATGCTAACCAAAAGGTAACTGATATGGGAAAATAAATGAACACTTACGTTTCTGGAACATCTCCTTGGTCAAGATCGTCAATTTCCTCTACTTTTTCAATAGATGTTTTTTGTGCCTCTTCAGTTTTCTGCTCGGCCATTTGTAAAAAGTGCTCAATAACAGTTTCTAGGGATTTAACCGCCACCTGAAACAAAATCAAAGCAATGAAGGCACAGAAATTCTTCCCTTCTGAGCACTAATGAGTAATTAAATACCTGATGTGTAAGTGTCTTATACTGAAACAAAGCATCTTTAGCAACATGAGGTTTCTTCAGCACAACACACAATTCCACATGCTTCATCATAATCTGCTCGTGTGTCTGAGTCCATTGTTTATATCGCCTTGCCTGTATACACAAAATTTTAGAATTATTGATCACCAAATCGCAAAAAATGAGAAAGAATATTTTACCTTTATGGTATCGTGCAGTGTATCAAGGGCATCTGACTCCTTTCCAACCTGAATCAGCTCCTGTGCTCGCTTGAGAGCAGTTTCAGGCTTCTGAAAGAAGTTGGGCGGCATGCTTCTCAGCGAAGACTACCGAATACCCTGAAAATATTATGTCATAACATTCAAAATAGATAACAAACATAGCAAATACGAGACTGGTGCTGGCCGACAGGCATAATAAGCAATTTAGAAGTTATGCACTATCAAAGCAGAAAGGAATGGATAAGTACGGACAGGTAATAAACACGTTAAAACGCTATGAAATCTCACTGTAAGGTGAGTGACGTTACGGGTGAGCTGTGCTGATTAAAGGACCGCAACGATTTCCATGCGGGATCGCCGTTGGACAACTGTTACTCACATTTGGGTTGCAAAGAGGTCTCGTGCGTGTCTCTGCTGCTCTCACTGCATGTCCCCTCCGCTAATACAGTTGTGCCTGCCCATCTTTACTTCTCTGGTCCCACAAAGGTGGTCACAGCGAGTGCCAGATAGTTTTTCAATGGGAGGCTGTGATGAGGCGCAACATCATTGCAATTGGGGCGCATAAGCGGAAGTCGGCAGGAGCTGCTTGTACCCCAAGAAGTTTTTTCGACGCTAACGCATTTAGAGCGGGGGTGGGGATCGCGTTTTTTCGACGCTAACGCATTTAGGGCGGGAGTGGGGGTCGCGCGGTGGCACGCTGCTCTTCTGCTCCCTCCTCGCCGAGATAGTGTTTGAAGGCGAGTATTTTTGCGAGTAGTATAGTAAGGCTTTTCAGGACATGAAGAAGTAAGTTGATCAATTTTGGTGGAATGAAATGAGCAGCGGGTGAGATGTACATACCTACTTAGGAGTTTGTCAAGGGACATGGCTTTTGCGGTGCCAACATATTTGGGGAAGGGGAAGGGGGAACCACCGCGAGCGACGACTCATTTGGTCTTCTGCTCCTTCCTCAGCGAAGTAGTATCCGGCATGTTCGGCTAAATCCTGGGAGGATCTCTTCGAGAATATACTACCGCCCGATGGTGCTATATTCAAACGGTAAAAGCCAACGCTGAAAAAGCGAAGAAACAATTGTAGGCCGAAAGTTTGTTGTCTAAGCCTAAAAGAGAAGATTCCGGCCTAGGTATGCTCGAAATCCCTGAGATCGGGTAGGCGTGGCTGCATGATTCAACTTAACTGAAGGAGTCTATGCTTCTGATATTTTCATCTTGACACAATTGTTGTCGTGTCTCTGTCCAACACAGAACAAGATGACAGTTGTCCCAGACTGGAATATTCCACGAGTAACCAGTTCCGTGCCATGTTCAAATGCCACGCCTACTCTGGCTCAGGGATAAGGAGTGTAAACTCATTTGTGTAGAAGTGACACTATTAAATGCACTGGATGCTCCGTATAGTCTGGAGAAAAATTACTCGTACGGCAGCTAAAATGTAGAAACTGACTCTTGAGCGTTTTCAGCAAACGTCACAGTAAAATCACAAGACAATTCACGAATTCTTCACCTTCCCACTCAAGAACCGCTTGTTTCTCGCTTTCAATACACCGGGAACCACCTATGGGCTGTATCGAACACTATCTCGCCGAGGAAGAAGCTGAAACAAGATGCTCGCTCATCGCAATCCGCCTGGTGCCCCCCCCCCCACCGCCCCCAAGTGCTTTAGGCATTGTTCACAGTCTGCGGTCCAGCGTTTCTCTGGAACGCGCGGTTCGGCGAAAAGCTTTCGATACGTATCGACTGGCGGTTGGGCGAAAGGGTTTTGATACGAATCGACGGGCGTTTCGCCAAACCGCGACGTTTTTCGCCTTCGACGAAACGCTAGCTCGATCGCCCTGGCGTTTTTCGCCAGCGAAATCGATACGCATCTATTGCTTTTCGCCCAACCGCCGAACCGCGGCGGTTCTAGCGGTTGGCGATTCTCCGATCGATGACTATTTTTTGCTTTTCTCCCAACCGCCGTTTCGTCAGGGTCGCAGACTGTGAACAATGCCTTAGCGTCGCTTCTGCTGCTTATCTTCCGCCTATCTATTGTAGTAGAGCGCTATTACAGTGACGGAGGGGTTTCATAAGTTCTGAGGAGCATCTAGGGCACTTGCTTGAAGGTATATTTGCACAAAGGAATGGGTTCATACAAAGTTCTACCCTCCTAGGCAGAAGAGAAAATCGTTGTTCACTGGTTTGGAATTGCTTCTCCGCAGTTTTTGGCATTAAGTGCCAAACTTATGTTATTACCACCTTATTTCGGTGCTATAGTCATTTTCTATCCCTGAAATTACGAAGACACCTCGAAACAAACCCTCACTGGCAAACAAAACAACAGGATACGAGCTCGTCGAAGAGGGAGCAGAAAAGCATCGTGCCGAGTGATTCCCCCGCCCCCGCCGCCCTCCCCCCACCGTCAAATACGTTAGCACCGTTTTCTCTGCTTAAACCTTATCTACAGAGGTGATTTGCAGCCGCGATCACGAGTATGACATATTTGGCGCTACTAGGCGCCGATTTGGCACCAACACCTTTCTCAATGAAATCGAAGAAAGCTTGTACACGGGGTTAACTGACATCCTGATCACGAATATCACCTGTGTTTTGTGCTGTCCCCCATTCAGCCTTAGGCTAAGGCTGAGCTCGGGAGAAGAAAGAGTTCCCTTCAGGTCAGGCTCAGCTTTAGCTGAGGAAGGGGTCACTGTCTCGGAGGAAATGCGCTGCAAGCTTCGCTGTCCCGGGGTATCGTGATATCGATATTCAGGTGGTCAACCGTGTTTTGGCGTCGACGCCTGTGGCGCTGTGGCTGCCAGTTTCGGGCTAAGGGAGTTTGTGCTCAAGAGGTCAAACTTCTTCTTCTGCTTCCTAGCGTTCTTGTCCAACGTTTGTCGGGTACGCTTTTTTCACCAAGGCTTTCCAATGATCCCTGTTCCAGACGTCGGCTGCGGACAGACCAGCAGCATTCATGTCCCTCTTCAGGTTGTCTATCCATCACAATCTATTAGGTTGTCCGGAAAGTTCTCAGCGTTTTGGGTGTTTCACTTTAAACGATCGTAACTTTTTTAATACTCATCGGATTTAATCGAAATAGCACCATTCGAATCAGCACACTTTTGCCAATGTGACAGCAGTCGAGAAATCCCATCAAAGAAAAAAACTGGGTGGTCGAGAATCCACGAAGGCTTTTTTGCCTGGTCCTGATTGATGAAGTATTTTCCAGCAAGGGAGTTCTGAAAATGTTTGAAAAGGTGATAGTCGGTTGGTGAAAGGTCTGAAGAATATGGCGGTTGAGGTAGAACTTCAACCCCCAATTCGTTCAATTTATGGATAGTGATTTGTGAAACGTGTGGGCGGGCGTTGTCATGCAAAGGAATCGGACCCTTTCTTGTGTTGGCTGCATCTGACAAAATTTCGGTACAATTCGTCGATTTCTTCACAGTAGGGTTCTGCTGTGATGGT